AGGGGAAGTGGGGTGACAAATCCGTGGAGAGCAAAGCAACAGAGACCAACTAAATGTGAGAGAGGGGAGGAATCTATGTTTTAACAAGCCCACCAAGTGATTCAGAATTGGGGGGAATTTAGATAAAGGTCCAAAGGTGACACTGAACCACATGCTAGTTAAGAAACCACAGATCTGCAGTTCTTTACCTTACCTTCACACTGGTATCACCAAGGAGCTTTAAAAATGCCTAGGTCTCACTCCAATGTCCGATTTAATAGTTATGGGAGGTGAGAAAAGCCTGGGCACTGGGATTTTTAAAAGACTCCCAAGTGATCCTAAGTACAGGCAAGGCTGAGAGCCAATGATCTACAGAGGATTACATTTTTAAAAGCTAGAGTTCGTGAAGAGTCTTGGATTAAGAAGTCTGTAAATGAGACATGAAAAGTTAGCCTTTAAAACCAAGATATATACAAAATCCCACTACAGAAAAAAAGGCCAGTCCACTTCCAATATGTTAATTTCACACTTTTAAAAGCTACACAAGATGTTTATTATTATTTAGAATAGAACTGTTTTAACAAACAATTTTACCCAAACACACACACACACAGTGCATTCCTAGTTGTTATGAAAAAGTGAAAATTTTTTAAAAAGCATGATAGTCCTTGTCCTTACAAACCATCTAATATACTTGGGGAGAAAAGACATATTACAAAGTAACAATGAAGTACAAATGCCAAATTTAGAGTACACAGTGAATGCACTGACTCAATGGAGGAAGAAGTTACATCTACTAGAGGTAGCATTTATGACTGTCAAAAAAGAGGGTAGAACTTCCCTATTTAAGGATGAATGTGAGTGGGCAGAACTGATAGTATAAAAGTTATTTTTCAGGAGGGCTGACCAAATGTAATATAAAACAAACTTTCTCATTCAGGAGTTCCTCATCTGAACCACAAATGATGTGACTACACCATGTGATGTGATGTACACCATTCTAGAAGCACAATACAGAACTAGGAAAGAATTCATTATATACAATGGATGCTTTAGGGTAATGGTTCTCAAACTTAAAATGACTCAAAATCACTTGGAGGGCTTGTTCAAACTGCTGGGCCATACTCCTAGAGTTTGACTCTGGGGTGGGACCCAAAAATGTATATTTTTTAACAAGTTCCCAAGCTCTGCTAAAGCTGCTATTGCAGGGATAACACCTTGAAAACCATTGCTCAGGGCACTAAGACTTAATTCTCTGGTGGAATTCTGGTTAATAAAGGCTGATATAAAGTATATCTTCATTTTGAAAGTTGTTATGCACTTTAAAGTAAATACAGAAAAAAGACACCAGTAGGAAGCAGCAGCATCACGCTTACTTCTCTCAAGACAACATAATCTTGGCCTGTTTACTGCATTCTTTTCTTTAGATATAAATCCAATATTTTTGGCTATTACATATGTAGGAATATATGCAAACACTATATAACCCATACATGTCATGGTGGCCAAAAGGCATGGCCAATGCATTCAGATGTGGTGTGCTAGAGCAACGATTCTTCTCAGGCTTCTATAAAAAGATAAAAATTCTGCCCACTGTCAGCACCAAAGGGCAGTTCACCAATCCTTTCACATCGAAACTATTCTTGAGTTACTAATTTTGAGTGATCTCTTGATGAACTACACCAAATATTTACTGGAATATTTCCAACAATGATAAGTTAGCAGTATATCTTCCAAGCCCATTCATTTCTGAGAATGTTTTTGTTTTACATTTATACTAAATGACAACTTAGTTGGGTGGAAAACTCTTGGGTTAACTACTTCATGACTTCCTCAACCCACTGACTTCTGGCACTTTAACAGAGAAGTCTAAAGCAAGATTTATGTTCCTTTGTACATAACCTGTATTCACTAATTACCCCTTCACTCTAATTCCTTGGCCTAAACATTGGCAGTTGCTTTTTTCCTTAAGGTTTGTAATTTAAAAAAATTTTTCCTGAGCTTTTATCTAGGTGTGGGTCTCTCTTTCCACTATCTTATCTGAAATGTTATATTTCCTTTAATTATGCATACATCAGGTTGGGAGTTTTTGTTTTTACTTAAAATAAAAGAAAGGCTTCTTTAATTATATCTAGCCATCAATTCTGTTCCAAGTGTTTGATTTACTTTTTATGGAGTATTTATCACTCCCTTGTTGGGTTCCCAATACCTTTCTCTCATAGTCATTACCTCAAAAATATTCGTTCTTATTGTTATTTTTAGCTTTTTTCTTTTTAATGCTTTATGACAGCTTGTCACATTTGTTCTCCACAGATACAACTTCACTACCTGTAATATTACATTCAACTTTCCAATCTATTGACTTCAAAATGGAATGTCAGTTCTGCTACTTTTAGTTCCCAGTCATCCTTCCTTATGTTACCTATTCCCCTTTTCAATCCTTTCATCTGAGCTTGCTGTCTCATTATGAGTTTTCTTTCCTTTTACTGGGGTGTGGCTTTTTTTTTTTTTTAACATGCTATTGGGTATGCCCATTGTTTCTGTTTTTATTTTTTCCTGGTTCCTTTCACATTCACAGGGCAGCTCTTCCCTCAACAATTCAGATTGTTTCCCTTCCCCTTGTTCTGCTATATTTTTTTTCACAGAGCTTTTACTTCCCCCACATTAACATTTCCTTGACAAAAAAAGCACAACCAACCCAAGCTCAGTATCTGCCAACAAGCAGTAAGGTATAGCCTGACCTTGATCCCGCCCTCTAATCACCCAGCTGCTAGTGAAATTCCTTCCTAAAATGATGTGCAAGACCTAAGCAATTCTCAGTGCCCAAGAGGCTTCATTTAAAAGGGTGGTTCGGGCCGGCCCGGTGGCGCACTGCTACAGTGCGCTGCTTGGGAGCGTAGCGGCGCTCCCGCCGAGGGTTCGGATCCCACATACAGACCGGCCGCTTGGGCCGGCCCGGTGGCGCACTGGATAAGTGCGCCGCTTGGGAAGCGCAGCAGCGCTCCCGCCCGAGGGTTCGGATCCCACATACAGACCGGCCGCTTGGGCCGGCCCGGTGGCGCACTGGATAAGTGCGCCGCTTGGGAAGCGCAGCAGCGCTCCCGCCCGAGGGTTCGGATCCCACATACAGACCGGCCGCTTGGGCCGGCCCGGTGGCGCACTGGATAAGTGCGCCGCTTGGGAAGCGCAGCAGCGCTCCCGCCCGAGGGTTCGGATCCCACATACAGACCGGCCGCTTGGGCCGGCCCGGTGGCGCACTGGATAAGTGCGCCGCTTGGGAAGCGCAGCAGCGCTCCCGCCCGAGGGTTCGGATCCCACATACAGACCGGTTCCCGCTCACTGGTTGAGCGAGGCGGGGGAGCAACGCCGAGGGTTGCGATCCCGTTGCCGGTCCCCGGTCCGGTACGGGGGCAACACTGAGGGTTGCGATCCGTTGCCGGACACGGAAAAAGACAAAAGACAAAAAAAAGACCGGCCGCTCACTGGCTGAGCGATGTGCGGGCTCAACGCCGAGGGTTGCGATCCCATTGCCGGTCCCAGTCCGGTACGGGCGCGACACTGAGGGTTGCGATCCGTTGCCAGTCACGAAAAAAGACAAAAAGGAAAATAAATAAATAAATAATTAATTAAAAAAAAATAAAAGGGTGGTTCTACTAGAACAATAGGGAGACTTCTTATATTCCAAATAATTAAATCTCTGAAACAATGAACAGGTAGAATTTTAAAAATTCCACCCTTTGGCCTCCTACTACCTACCTACCTAAGTCCTACCTATTGTTGGGGCTCAGAACACACTACTACAAAATATGTCCCCTTGGACCTCACTCTCTGATTTTCTCCCACCTTTCTGTGGAAGAGCTGGCCATAAAGGAATTCTCTGACTTACCCCTTCTGAAAGTATGCTATTAGACCTCATGTGACAAGGTGTCCTGCCCTATACCTGGAGGTAAGGAAAGCTACAGAGAGAGGCCAAGAAGAATCTGAACCAACATGGCTTGTGAAGTTCCCTCCAGTTTATTACCAGTTTATTACCTTTTTGTCCAGTCATACTTTTATGTGACTGCCCACTCTTCATCCAACCTAAGCATAAAAATACATGGTTTTCCCTAGTTCTTTGGGTCTTCATTTCTAAAGGTTCCCATGTCATGTAAAACAATGATAAAACAGATTTGCTATGCTTCTCTCTTGTTAATCTGTCTTTTGTTACGTCAGCCATGATCTTTGTGACGGGTGTGGAAAAAATATTACTTTTTCTCCCCTACACTATCTTTCCAGGCTTAGTTTAATTCACCATCTTCTCCATCCAGCCCTTGTCCTACCATGAAGATCCATTCTGACCCCTCACTTCTTTACAGGCTTGTCTTTGTTATAGTCAATGCCATACAACTTACCTCTTGCTCTATAATTATTTCATGTTTTCCCCAACTGTATATCAAGTTATTCAACACCAGTTACATATTGGACTTCTTTGTAATAGCACAGAGGCAAAACAAATATTTGTCAACTGATAGAAATGCAGTTTCAGAGAACTTCATAAAGAATTCAAACACTTCCACTAAGGTGAAATTTTGTGCAATATGTACAATTTAGGCAGCCACATTCTCACTATTAACAGTCGAAGAAAAAAATTCAACATTCTAGTTTCTCTTCTGAAGCTGTTCAAAGCAGTTTATTTGTAAGTGGAAAAAGAGCTCTACATATATATATAATATATTATATATATAAAATGCAATGTTCCCATTGCCTAAAAAATCTTGCTAATCAAAAATTTAAAATAGCATATAACATAATTAAGAACATACAACTTTTGCATTGAGATATCTAAAAGTGCAAATATTATATCTCAAATATCTAAAAGTACAAATATTATATCCCAAATCTGCCAGAATACAAAATCCATAGATTTTGTTTCAATGAGTTCTATCGTATTACATTCATCACCTCACTTCTGTTTCATAATTATTAACTTGTTTTTAATTCAACTCATTCAAATAAATGATGAGAGTAAAAACTCTACTTACCCCACCCATTGTAATTCCATGAATAAGTGCAACATACGGTTTCTGGCAAGACCCTAAAAGAAATAGAGCTGTTATTTTAGTAATTTTAGTTGCAATGTTAAGATAAATATAGTTTTTTCAAAAATCACATGTTATATGAAGTTTAAGTATTTTCCCCAGGAAATTTTTACAAGAAATATGAAAAAGGACATTTTTAAAATCTGTTATTTTTTAGATATCAATCCATACGCTATCCTGATTATTTAACAATTCAACCATCCATCTGAAACAGATGAAAGCCTTGTAAACTCAGATATTGAGAAAATAATAAACATCTACCTTATAAGCCACCTATGTTTATGGACAAAGTTGTATTTTAAAGAACATATTTGTTTTCTATGCATCTAAAGAAGTATCTGGTTACATATAGAGAAGAACAGGATATAGGAAAGAAAACAGACTGAGAATTAGAAGACTCAGATTCCAGTCTCAGCTTTATTAATTGGCTATTCAACTGGGCATTAAATGATATAAATATATGAGTAATATATATTATTTATACATACATATATATACACACATGCACACTAGGGTACTTCAAAAAGTTCACAGAAAGATTCATATTATCTTCTAACAGATCTGCAACATAACCAGGACCACTTTAGATAAGCCCAAGTACAAAATGGCACCACCCACCCCCACCCCTCCCTTCCCCCCTTCCCTTTAGGAGAAGCCTCCTGACTTAAACAGAAACCCCTTTTGCTTCCACAAGGACACAGTTCTCCACCCTGATCCACATTAGCATAATGACCCTACTTGATGGTATCAGCCAGCCCTTGGTGCACTATATAAGCTCTACCACCCCCACACCTGGTGCTGTCCCCATTTTCAGGGCAGCCCTGGGCTGTTCCACACTTTGAGCACAGCCCAGTAGATTCTTTTCCTTTAATAAAGCTTGAACGGTACCCGGCATCTTGGCTCACTTTCTTTCATCTACCAATTCTATTTTTCCACAAACTTTTGAGGTCACCTCATATATGCATATCAGATATGTGTGTATCATATATGATATACAGTTAAGTTCCCTTATCTATAAAATGATGAGACAATATATGGCCTCAGATGTTCCTTCCAGCTCAAAAATTCTGTTAATCATACAAACATTTACTGTTTTCCTTTCCCTTTTGTTTTTCCTCAGAGAGGAGAAGTTGCCTAAAATATAACATAAAAGTAAATCACTGAGCGTCTATTACAGCTTGCTGCCAATATTACCTCCTTACTAAGGGCCAATATAAAACTGCAGAGTTTTGATCCATTCAACAATTCTGTAAGTATTCCCAGTTAGCCAATAAGCCAGCAAAACACAACTCCAATTTCACATTCACAAGGACTTCCGCTGCCCTCAATTTTGACTTGCATTTCCCTAGAAACCATGGGAAGAAATTTACTGATTGGCATGGAGATATATAAATACACACGCCACCCCCATGCCAGCTACAGATACATACAATTCAGATATAAAATATTACAGGCTAACTGATGCAGTACATGAAGCCAGACTCTGTCAAATTCCTTACTGACTATAATATTATTATAATGTATAGAAATTATACCTTGAAGGTTTTTTCTCTGTATGTTAACACTGGACCAAGCTCTTTGCAAACTACTTGAGGTTTTCTCCAATCTCTTTTTATTTAGTATAAAACTGCAATAGTATGGCAGCCACTAGCCATATATAGCCATTTAAATTAAAATTAATTACAATTAAATAAATTTAAAATTCAATTCTTGGTCACACTAGCCACATTTCAAGTGCTCACTAACTACATGTGGCTAGTGGCACTCATATTGGACAGCACAAAATATAGAATATTTTCATCACAGCAAAAAATGTCCTATTGGACAGTGCTGGTACATAGAATGTTTGAATACTTTTAGGATTTAAAGAACTGATAGATGTCCATTCAATTTGACTTACTGAGGTAAAATGGGAAACAGTCGCCTTTCCCTACTAATACTTCAAAGACATAAAATTCTAGAAAAAATAAATAAATGCTAAATGTATATCCCAGTTCAAAGCCAAACAACAGAAATCCCCAGGTGCCAGAAACAAAGAAAAAACTCAAAGTCAATAGCTGAGTAGAAGCTAAAGCCAAAAATTATGAGTGAGCGTGTGAGGGGGTGTGTGTATGTGTTGCAAGTTGGGGATAAGATCTGGGCCACGTATCTTATGTAATCAACTACCTGCACAAAGCCTCAAGTTAGGAGAAGCTGTTCCATTTGTAAAACAGGACAAGCAAAACTCCACCTACTGATTTGGGAACTGAGTAAGGAAGCTTGCCCCCTGCCCAGGAGAGGAAAGAAAAAGTCTGATAAAGTAGATGTTCAAGCACAAGATCACCACCACCACCATCAAATCTGAACAAACAAACCACCCTTAACAACTTTGGAATACACATAATGTCTGTAACATGGCAAAAAATTTCTACAAAGAGATTTATACCTAACTGAAATTTTAAAAGCTTTCTTCCCATTGACATCAGGAACAATGAGAATACTACAATCATTCAACACTATAACAGAGATCCTAGCCAAAATATAACAAGAAAAGTCATAAATAAAGACTGGAAAGAGATGAAAAAAAAAGTTATGTGCAGATGATGGAACTGCCTATGTAGAAAAGCCAAAAGAACCTACGGAAATACCATTAGAATTAACAATAAATTTCAGCAGGATTGCTAAGTATAAAAAGATATTAAAATCAAAAGCATTTCTACATGCCAGAAATATTTGATTAGAAAATGTAGTAAGAAGGGCCGGCCTGGTGGCGCACTGCTGCAGTGCGCCACTTGGGAGCGCGGCGGCACTCCCGCCGAGGGTTTGGATCCCACATGCGGACCGGCCGCTCACTGGCTGAGCGAGGTGCGGGAGCAACGCCGAGGGTTGTGATCCCGTGGCCGGTCCTGGTCTGGTGCGGGTGCAACACTGAGGGTTGCGATCCGTTGCCGGTCATGAAAAAAGACAAAAAAGGAAAAAAAAAAAAAAAAAAGAAAATGTAGTAAGAAAATAACCATTAAATGAAGTAACGAAAACCACAACATACCTAAGAGTTAGTCTTTAAAAAGAAAATTTAGAAAGCAAGATTTTTATGGAGAAAATTACAAGACATTATAAAAGGACATGAAAGTCAACATGAAGAAAATGTTCTAAAATTGATGTATGGTGATGGTTGCACAACTTGGTTACTTTAGTAAAAATCATTTAATTGTATACATGAATTATGAATTTTTGGATATGTAAATTACAACTCTATAAATTTTTTTTTTTTTTAATCTACATGAATTAATGAAGAGATATGCCACATTCAGGGACAGGAAGACTTAATATCAAAGATGTCAATTCACCCCAAGTTAATCATTCTCATTCTAATCAAAATCTCAATAGGATATTTTATAAAATCAGACAAAACAATTCTAAAATTCATGTGGAAGATCAGAAGTCCAAGAGTAGCCAAGCCAACAGATGTGTAGAAAAAGAAAGTCTTACACTCTAGGGTAGAATTTGGAAACAAATTGCAGATGTATAAACCCTATGATCTATCCCATTCCACATATATTTCTAGAGAAACTTTTGTACATGGGCACTAAGGGGGAACACACAAGGGTTCAACTAGCTATATTGGTAAAAATTAGAAATAATCTAAAACATCCATTAATGTAGAATAGATAAGTAATGCAGGGTATATTCATAACATTGGATACAGGCATACCTTGGAGAGATTGTGGATTCAGTTCCAAACCACCAAAATAAAGCAATTATCACAATAAAGCAAGTCAAATGAATTTTTTGGTTTCCCAGTGCATATAAAAATTGTTTATACTATACTGTAGTCTATTAAGTGTGCAACATTATGTCTAAACAAACAATATACACACCTTTATAAAAAAATACTTTATTGCTAAAAAATGCTAATGATCATATGAGCCTTCAGTGAATCGTAGTCTTTTTGCTGGTGGAGAGTCATGCCTCGATGTTGATGGCTGCCAACCGATCAGGGTGGTGGCTGCTGAAGGCTGGGGTGGCTGTGGCAATTTCTTAAAATAAGACAAGAATGAAGATTGCCACACCGATTGGCTCTTCCTTTCATGAAAGATTTCTTTGTAGCATGCAACAGCATTTTATCCACAGTACAACTTCTTTCAAAACTGGAGTCAATCCTCTCAAACCCTGCCACCACTTCAACTGAGTTTACATAATGTTCTAAATCCTTTGTTATCTTTTCAACAATGTTCACAGCATTTTCACCAGAAATAGATTCCATCTCAAGAAACCACTTTCTTTGCTCATCCATAAGAAGCAGCAACTCATTCATTCAAGTTTTATCATAAAATTGCAGAAATTCAGTCACATCTTCAGGCTCCACTTCTAATTCTAGTCCTATTGCTATTTCCACCACATCTGCAGTTACTTCCTACACTGAAGTCTTGAACCTCTCAAAGTCATCCACGAGGGTTGGAATCAATTTCATCCAAACTCCTGTTAATGTTAACATTGTGACCTACTCCCATGAATCGTGAATGTTCTTAATGTTATCTAGAATGGTAAATCCTTTCCAGAAGGTTTTCAATGTACTTCTCCCAGATCCATCAGAGGAATCACTGTCTATGGCAGCTATCACCTTACAAAATGTACTTCTTAAACAGTAAGACTCAAAAGTTGAAGTTACTCCTTTATCCATGGGATGCAGAAGGGATGCTCTGTTAGCAAGCATAAAAACAACATTAATTGACTTGTACATCTCTATCAGAACTCTTGGGTGACTTTTGAAAGGAATCTTTTTTTTCTGAATAGTGAGTCTCAACAGCAGGCTTAAAGTGTTCAATAAACTACACTGTAAACAGATGTGCTTTCATCCACGCTATGTTGTTTCATTTATAGAGCACAGGCAAAGGAGATTTAGCATAATTTTAAGGGCCCTAGGATTTTCGTATGGTAAATGAGCACTGACTTCAACTTAAAGTCACCAGCTACCTGCCCCTAATAGAAAGTCATCCTGTCCTTTGAAGCCAGGCAT